TGGAACGAGACAAGAGGCTGAGGATAAACTCTGCGAGCCTTTTTCTGCTCCTTTTTAGTGAGTACTGGCGTAGACTCCTCTTGCTGCTTCCTCTTCTTCTTTTTCTTCTTCGGCTCCTCACTTTTGACGCGCACTGGCTGGATTTCCTCCAAGTCACGCATATCCGTGACTTTGATTTTGTGCGCATTCAGCACCGTACGACACTGCACCTCGTCCATGTCATCAACATCAGACGCATCAGATGCATCATCCCGGTGCTCATGCTGCGTCTGCTGCTCCTGCTCCTGCTCCTTCGCCATCGAAGCACTAGACCGCCGAGCCTTACTCGAACCGAAAAAGTTCAACTCCGCAGCATCATCGTCCGACTCAGCTGCCTCCGGACCTGCCGTCCTCTTCCTCTTCTTCCCATGACTCGCTTCTTCCAGAACCTTGTCGGCCTCTGAGCTACGGAAGAGCTGCGGGTTCGCCGCCTTGCCCGTGGACGGGATACGAGTCGAGCTCTGCGCTGATGATGGGGCGGCGCCACCCTTCAGCTTGGTTGCCCTTGTCAGCAACTTGAAGGCGTCCATCTTTAACGCATAAGATGATAGATGCTTATGCAGATAGGTCGATGTACGCGATCGCGCCTGAAATGAACAAAGCTGATCTTGTTGCGATGGTTGTCTGGTTCTCCGCGAACAAAAAAAGTCCCGATGCAGAAATTCTTTCCCGCACGGACCAATCAGATGCGAGGAAACTCTCCGTCGCCTGATTTTTTTTGACATCCACTATCACCATAGCGGCCTACAACTGAAATAGGTGGATTCCTATTTTGATATCGTTTTTCAAAGGTCCTGTATAATTATAGAGGGAGTAGTCTCTGGAATAGGTTTGTTGCACTTGCTCCTTACTGTCCGAATAATCCTATCCTTCAGGAATGAATCAAGCAGTGTTCTATGATAAGCGTCTGTCTACATTTCAGATCAGAATCAATATTCTTGAAGCAAAGTCACCCCAGACATCAGCTAGTTGTCACAACCGGACCTCTTCATGTAACACGTCATGGCACCATCGACTTCAGATGTTTTACCTCAGACAACAGCTTGAATTCCATCGTCTATCATACAATAGTACAGTGCATAGGAAGAACAAAGACAAAGGGAAAGAAAACAGGCCAGGTATGATTGATTGAAATTGCTCTAGTGGTGGTCGCCGTGATCGGCGTGGCCCCTGTAGCCGACAATGTTCATTCTACCGATCATCTCGCCGACAGTGAAGAAACCGATAACCTCGGCGGCGGTAACACCAGCAAAAGCAATCTCCTTCTTGTTGGCATTGCGAACCCGGGAAATGATGTTCTGGGGAGAGAAGCTCTTGAGGTTGGCGGGGTTGCGAGCAGCGTTGATCAAAGGCTGGAAGTAAGCCTGGAAGGTAGCCAGGTTGCTAGTATTAAGTCAGTGGGCTGCGTGTGCGCCTGGTGTCTTGCACGGTGCTGAGTGTGCTTACGGAGGAGTCATGTTCTGGCCACGGAATACCAGCTTAGCGAGTTCGAGGCCAACCTTCGAGTAGTAGATAGTAGGGGGTATCAAAGCTATTGCAGGAGCACAAAAGTCAGCATTGAACGGCACTTGTCGAGCAGTATCAAGGGACGATGTTTGCCAAGTTATGGACAAGGAATGATGACCAAATCAGAGATCAAGCACTCACGCCAATCACTCCATCATCAACGAAGAGGACAAAACAGGGCGAGAAGGGGAAAGAATGTGCTTACAGTCGACAAAGGCAATGACCTTCCCGGTTCTTCCACCGACCTTCCTCAGAGCGCTACCGAGACCCTGAGCAGCGTTTGAGATGGCAGGACCAGCCGTAGAAGTGACACGGGAGAGACCCTCGGAGGCCTTGGAGACAGCGGAAGAGGCACTCTGACTGGCCTTTGAGGCGGCCTCGGAGGTGTTGGAGGCATATCTGACCGCAGTTCTGCGGGTCAGGAACTGCGATTGCCGCAGCACGGCACGGGAAGCCGTGACGGGCATTGTGATGGCGACTGGAAGGGAAAGACGGTAAAAAAAGAGAGACAACTTTTGAGGGTCACCGGCGAGGGACGAAGTAGTCCAATGGCGGGAGGTCAGGAGCCAGAAACACAGGATTGTCGCGCAATTGCAAGGACCGAAGACTGAGATTTGACGCTCGGGAACTTCAGGGAATGGAAGAGGCCGCCGCTTTGTTGGTCACGTGACAATGGTGCACTTCGAGATCTTGGCAACGTGACTTCCATTCATCCCTCACCATACCCTGTCAAGCAACACCACGTTATGGCATTCTGTCATGAAAGCTTAACGGCTCTCATTGCTAAGGGATGTAAACATCCACGGACTATCATAATGCTAGAACGTTTTTGAGGATATCCCTTTCGAGCCCTCGCTCGCATCCTTTCAATGGTTTTGTACTTACTGCTGAGAGATTCAGCATGAGATTATCCTGAGAACCAGGGGAGACTCTTGCTGTGCAAAAGTTACAGTCGTGGGCAGAGTGTCTGAGAGATGATACCCACACCCGATGAAGCTTGCGGCACAAGCGTAGCGAAACATAGAATTTTCTGCCTTGTTGACTTAAGGATGTCTGATTGAATTACTGAACTTTTCTAATCTTGGACTCGCGCAAGGGCTAGATATGTCAGTTTATCTCGGTCGTTGTCGGCCATGATTGCAGGTGACCTTTTTTACGAAGTTCTGCATATCCTATCAGAAAACATTTGCAATGAACTCTCTTAAATCTGACACAGTCTCTGGTCTTGAAGCTGTGAGCTACGACTGAGACGTAAGTCAAAGTGCAATACTTGGTGGTTCGCTTTGAGGTCTGTACTCTCTGGGCAAGTCGACGCACTGGCATAGCGCGACTGACACCGTATTGGCCTATGGTGGAGCATGATTGTTTACACGTCGTCACCATCGGTGCTAGAACTGTCTCAAAATCGCTGGCGCGACCAAAAGCCGTCTATTTATTAACAGTCGAGTCTTTTGCGGCTGGTGAAGATCCTATTAACCATCCGTATGCTTAGCCTCGAGTGACTTGGGCGTACCAATCACAAGTACCAGCACACCTGCAAGAAACGTCATACTATCGCTAGGATGATCCACAAGCCTGCAAACAGATGCTCAGTTGGGATTGGGCAGATGGCGAGATGACGCCCCCCAGTGTCCATGTGAGAGGCGCGGGGTCCTCGGGTAAAGAAGCAAACGGCCCATGAGATTTGCTTCTTCTATCCGGCTTGGAGTGGACACAAACAAGATAAGCTTCTTCTGGAAGATATAAGTGTTTCGATGTGCGGTGGTTTCCACATCGGCTCAGTAGCTCACGTCTACTCATCGGTTGACCAACATCTAGAATGGGTCTCTGGCTCGCCGATAGACGTGTCACTTACAATCCTCAAAGTCGCAGTCAGTTGTTCTTTTCTGCTCTGGTGTGCCAATCATCCTTCTAAGTATCTTAGTTCATATTCGATGTCCCACTGCAGACTATTTATGAGTGTCAGCCGATTGGCTCTGCCGGAGCGCGATGGGTAGGCCTCAGCGCAACGAGGCAGATTTCATGCTGGCCCGGACCTTTGCCCTGCTGCTTTGTGTGCGGCTTCTCATTTGTTTGTTCCACCTACTGGCTGGCTTCCATTTGCATGTCGAAGGTGACGATCGACATCTGGTCACGTCTCAGTCCTGTGAAGTAAACCCTGGTCATGTGAAGATCTGAATCTTCCATACTCCACAGCTCAGAGCAAGACAGCACTTTTTTGGCATGCTCCCGTCCACCAAAGACCTGAACCGTCGGAAAGTAGCCTGGCTTGAGTATCATGTTGATGATGTCGGTAAGAAACTGCCCGGCGCGAATGATATTCTCCACCAAGGGATGACGAGCCCGCCGGAGAATTACCACTCTGGGCCGGAGTCCAGGGGACAGGAACGGCATTTCGGGAGGGACCAATGAAACGCCGAGCTTTTGAGATTTCTGTGCGACCTTTTTTGATGCCGTGGATTTGGGCTTTCTTCTGTTTCTTTTTCCTTTTCGGTTCCGTAATCGTTGGCTTTCGCGGGTCATTGACGCTTTGGGATCCACCGGGAGGCTAAAATAACCTTTTGTATATTAATTTAACCGAGTGGGCGTCCCAATGACATTTTCAATTATCCAAGATCAGGAAGGTAAAACTGCGTTCATGTCGACTGAAGATACCCTAAGCCGAATTTATTGAGTAGCCAAGTATCGATACGGTTGCAGGACGAGCACTATTCTCTCCAGCGGGCTATTTCCCTCATGGATCAGGGTCATTGTATAGATCTACCATGCAGCAGTTGTCGCAAAGATACCCCAGAACTAGCTAGCTTATATTACACACTATCTCCTGCACTTTCGGCACAAGAATCCCCGAACAATTCCTTCCTCTGCGGTGATGTTTCAATTTTCCGACACCATAGTGACCTACCGCAAAGCAGGGAATGTACTCCAATTGAAGATGGATCTTGCCTCTGGTTTCAACCAATGACGGGAGGTCCAGATGGAAAACCCCCGCGGACTGCGGGGACAATTTGACAACATGAACAGCCCGGCTAAACGGACCATTCGCGGTGTGTACCTACCTTAGATAGTACAGTGTAAGGTACCTAAGGGGTAGGTAGGTGCGAACAACCGTTAGTAACTTACTCCACACCAATCCAGTCCGTTCCATCCATCCCACTTTGTGTCCCGCAGGAGGTTGCAACACAGCTGAGCCTCGATGCTGATTCATGCTGGCCACCTATGAATCTTCGATAATCATAATCATGGATGATTATCATTCGGCCAGCGGTAGCTGAATATCCGTCATGAAATTTTTGTACTCTTATTCTTAGAGGGGCAACTCGAGTATTAAAGCTTGTTGGTCCCCTACTACCCTCCCCTCTATCCCCTCTCTGCACAATCTTTCCCTCACTCTCTATACCCTTTAATTTCCTTTTGCTTCTCTTGTCCAGTCCTTCCACTTCGAGTCGGATACCATGGCTACCGCAACCACAACTGTTCTTGAGAAGCCTAACATCGGCGTCTACACAAACCCCAAGCACGATCTGTGGATCGCAGAATCAACACCCACGTTGGAAGATGTCAAGAGCGGCAACGGACTGAAGCCTGGTGAGGTTACGATTGAGGTTCGCAGCACAGGTATCTGCGGGTATGCTCTTCTTATTCCTTGTGTGCGTCCTGTTTCTTCATATCGTCCACACTCAGCTAACCAATGACTTTCGCAACACAAAGATCGGATGTACACTTCTGGCATGCGGGTTGCATTGGCCCAATGATCGTCGAGGGCGATCACATCCTGGGTCACGAGTCGGCTGGTCAAGTGATTGCGGTCGCTTCCGATGTCACATCCCTCAAACCCGGCGATCGTGTCGCTATCGAGCCCAATATTCCTTGCCACGCCTGCGAACCCTGTCTGACTGGACGTTATAACGGCTGCTTGAATGTTGCCTTCCTATCCACACCCCCCGTTGACGGACTGCTGCGACGCTATGTCAACCACCCCGCCGTCTGGTGCCACAAGATCGGCGACATGAGCTTCGAGGATGGAGCTCTGCTGGAACCCCTCAGTGTATCTCTTGCGGCAATTGAGCGCAGCGGACTCCGTCTAGGCGATCCCTGCTTGATTACGGGTGCTGGTCCCATTGGTCTGATCACTCTGCTCAGCGCGAAAGCGGCCGGTGCCACCCCGCTCGTCATTACGGATATTGACGAGGGACGTCTGGAGTTCGCCAAGTCCCTTGTCCCCGAGGTGCGCACCTACAAGGTCCAGTTTGGTCTCTCTGCCGAGGAGCAAGCGAATGCCATTGTCAATGTGTTCAACGACGGCCAAGGGTCCGGTCCGGATGCCTTGCGACCCCGCCTGGCGCTGGAATGCACAGGTGTAGAGAGCAGTGTGGCTTCCGCCATCTGGAGTGTCAAGTTCGGCGGCAAGGTCTTCGTCATCGGCGTCGGCAAGAACGAGATGACCATCCCGTTTATGCGTCTCAGCACACAAGAGATCGATCTGCAGTACCAGTACCGCTACTGCAACACCTGGCCTCGCGCCATTCGTTTGGTCCAGAACGGAGTGATCAACTTGAAGCGCCTGGTTACCCACCGGTTCGCGCTGGAGGATGCCCTCAAGGCGTTCGAGACGGCCGCGGACCCCAAGACTGGAGCAATCAAGGTCCAGATCATGAGCTCGGAGGAAGACGTCAAGGCTGCTTCGGGTTAGCAGTAGGTCTGGCTTGGACTTGTCCATACTGGTGGCGTTTACGGGGTTGGAACCTGTTTGGGGTTGTCTTGTTGATTCTTTTTCGATGACTCACATACCTGTTATGTTCTTTGCATTGCGATGATGACCGTGCCATGTACTGATGTTGATGATTGCTATATGTGCATCCAGTCTGGGAATATAGACATTTCGGAACTCTTGTCAAAGATTGGTTGACGTCGGGGTGGCTCTCCAATAAATAATGCGCCTTTCTTGCAAATGCGGTAATGAGGGCAAGTATGACAGCGAGCTAGCTCATTTTAGACAACTAAACCATCTCTTGGCTCAGGCTGTCGGGTCTAGAAACCTTGGATATAATGACACTGGCTCTAACTAATCGACATTAGGGTATCCTGGAGACTATCCACCGTTGTCAAAAGGTCATTTGAAGACATGATGAAACAGACGATGCCTGTTATCATTGCTCGGATGAACTACAATTATAGCTACGATCGAGGTCAGGGTCCATAGACAATATATCGCTCCCTTCGCGATTCCATTCTTGTACTGTGATGTCAATGTGACTAAGTACACAGTGGATTAAAAAAKCCAAAAGTACATATGTGCCCTATAGATCTCACAGATATCGATACCTACTCCGACATTCTCCCACAATGGCCGACAGAATAGAAATCAGGAGCGATGATGGGATCTATATACGCCCTTGAAATGAGTGACCACACGATCTTTAGGTGTACTTTCTCGTTGCAGTATCAGGGTCTAATCTCTCAAATGGGTTTTGCTGAGTCGAATACGATCTCTGACGGAACCGTGCCATCACTAATGAGTACCACTTTGATCAGTGTTGAGAACCCCGGCCTCGACCTGCCACCACAGCCATCACAGCCATCACAGGCTTCACAGCGGGGAAACAAGCGGGGAAAGCTCCTCTTGGCATCTGGTGATTAGTTGCTCTCCACCAGTCAGCGTGCTGTATAGATGCTTGGCAGAGACGATGATTTCGATGTCGGGCCGGCATCAATGGCCTTGAAGCTTCCAAGTCTTTGCGTTTTGCAGGTTTCGAGATGCTCAGCCTGTCCAGGTTGAGCTCACGCAGCTGATTTACTTCAAAGCGAACATATATGAAGATATGAAATCATCAACAATGAAGCACGAACAAGTCTTAGGATCAACGCGGGGTGGTAATAACAAGAATAACTGACTGGGTGCATGATCCCTGCGACATGCCAATAGAGCGCATTCTATAGTGCATAATATTCACTATGCAGTTGCCATTCCCGGACAAGATCAGCATCATCCGCACCAGAAACGGACTGGTTGGATTCCCGATATTTGGCCGACTGACCAACCCTGCAAATGAAATTTTGCACTTGATGAGCTTCGTGTTTGCTCCATTTCTTCCCCGCTAATCGACCTCATCTTAAAGGATCCAACTGAGCAAATCAAGTCTAGTCCTCCTCCTGAGAGCTCTCCTGCCCAGCCCCGAGCCGGCCAATTGCCGGGTACTTGTAGACTTCGGCCCAGATGTAATCTCCGCGCAGTCGTCCTGCGTAGCTGGATCTGATGTGTCTGATGGGTCGGATGTTTGTCATACAGCGAGATGAATGCCTGCGCCACCGGCCGTGCTCCGGGAAAGTGTAAGATGCATCCGATGAAATGTTCTGCCGCTAGGGCGCACGTCAAACTAATATAAACCTGCTCTCCCTCACTGTCGATTCACTTCATCCTCAGTAACGATCTCAAGTCTCAACCTCAACATGTTGAGATCGCTACTACTCCTTGCCCCCCTTGTGGGCGCTGCCGTGGTCGGCGTCAGGGACAACAGCCAGAAATGTCCAGGTTACAAGGCCACGAATATCAAGGAGGGCGGCAACTCATTGACGGCGGATTTGACCTTGGCCGGTAAACCGTGCAACACTTACGGCACCGACTTGAAGAACCTGAAACTTCTTGTGGAGTACCAGACTGGTAGGTTTTTATAACTTTGAACGGCAATGATTTGTAGCTTACTTCTTTCAAGATAAACGTCTACATGTTAAGATCTATGACGCCGATGAGGAGGTTTACCAGGTCTCCGAGTCGGTTCTCCCTCGCGTGGATGGCAAAGGTGGATCGAGCAAGAAGTCAGCGCTCAAGTTCGACTATCAGGCGAATCCTTTCTCCTTCAAGGTCAAGAGAGGCGGCGAGGTGCTCTTCGACACCACCGGTTCGAACCTAATCTTCCAGTCGCAGTATCTTAACCTGCGCACTTGGTTGCCCGAGGATCCTAATCTCTACGGTCTTGGAGAGCACACTGATTCTCTTCGCCTGGAAACCACCAACTACACGCGTACCATGTGGAACCGTGATGCTTATTCTATTCCTGAGAAGACCAATCTGTACGGCACTCATCCCGTGTACTATGACCACCGTGGCCAAGACGGCACTCACGGTGTCTTCTTGCTGAACTCCAACGGCATGGACATCAAGATCGACAAGACCCAGGACGGCAAGCAGTACTTGGAGTACAACACTTTGGGCGGTGTCTTTGACTTTTACTTCTTTACCGGTGCTACCCCCAAGGACGCCAGCATCGAATACGCGAAAGTCGTCGGTCTTCCCGCTATGCAGTCCTACTGGACGTTTGGTGTACGTTTCCTGGTCTTTTATCTGCCTGACCTTTGTCTAACTCTATTCTAGTTCCACCAATGCAGATACGGCTATCGTGATGTCTTTGAGGTTGCTGAGGTTGTCTACAACTACACGCAGGCGAAGATTCCACTGGAGACCATGTGGACCGACATTGACTACATGGACAGACGTCGGGTGTTCACACTTGACCCTGAGCGGTTCCCTCTTGAGAAGATGCGTGAGTTGGTGACATATCTCCATAGCCACAACCAGCACTACATCGTCATGGTGGACCCCGCCGTCAGCGTGAGCGGTAAGCTACACTTCCAAGTACGGACGGGAATCATATTGACAGTCGCCTAGACAATGACGGCTACAACGATGGAATGGAGCAGGGCATCTTCCTGCAGACTCCAAACGGTAGCCTCTACGAGGGTAAGTCTCACGTCAAACGAACGACACCCAGACAACTAACCTATACAGGTGCCGTCTGGCCTGGTGTGACTGCTTATCCCGACTGGTTCCACCCTAACATCCAGGAGTACTGGAACGACCAGTTTGGCAAGTTTTTCGACCGCGACTCCGGCGTCGATATTGACGGTCTGTGGATCGATATGAACGAGGCCGCCAACTTCTGCCCTTATCCATGCAGCGATCCCGAGGCCTACTCTAAGGAGAACGACCTGCCTCCCGCCGCTCCCCCTGTTCGTCCCAGCAACCCGCGCCCGTTGCCCGGATTCCCTGGTGATTTCCAGCCCTCGTCCTTGTCGAAGCGGTCCACCAAGGGATCCAAGGTTGGCCTGCCTAACCGTGACCTGATCAACCCTCCGTACATGATCCGCAATGAAGCCGGCTCCCTCAGCAACAAGACCATCAATACTGATATAATCCATGCCGGCGAGGGATATGCCGAGTATGACACTCACAACCTTTATGGAACCAGTAAGTAGCGTCTATCGGCTGGTGATAAGGGCAGACTGACGTTTCAACAGTGATGAGTTCTGCTTCTCGCAATGCCATGCAGCACCGGCGCCCTGAGGTGCGGCCTTTGATCATCACTCGCAGCACATATGCTGGTGCTGGCGCCCACGTTGGACACTGGTAGGGCAATCCATCTCAATCTACGCAACCATACTGACATTGGCAGGCTTGGTGACAACATCTCCGAGTGGAGCAAGTATCGCATCTCGATCGCGCAGATGCTTGCGTTTGCCTCGATGTTCCAGGTGCCCATGATCGGATCAGACGTGTGCGGATTCGGCGGCAACACCACCGAGGAGCTCTGCGCTCGCTGGGCCCGTCTCGGAGCCTTCTACACCTTCTTCCGCAACCACAATGAAATCACCGCCATCCCGCAGGAGTTCTACCGCTGGCCCACCGTTGCCGAGTCCGCTCGCAAGGCCATCGACATCCGCTACAAGCTGCTTGACTACATCTACACAGCATTCCACCGGCAGACGCAGACCGGCGAGCCCTTCCTGCAGCCCATGTTCTACCTCTATCCCAAGGACAAGAACACCTTCAGCAATCAGCTGCAGTTCTTCTACGGCGACGCCATCCTGGTCAGCCCCGTGACCGACGGGAGCCAGACTTCGGTCGACGCATACTTCCCCGACGACATCTTCTACGACTGGCACACGGGTGCCGCCCTGCGCGGCCGCGGAGCCAACGTCACTCTCAGCAACATCGACGTGACCGAGATCCCCATCCACATCCGCGGCGGCAGCATCATCCCCATCCGGTCTGAGTCCGCCATTACCACTACCGAGCTGCGCAGGAAGGGCTTCGAGCTCATCATCGCCCCGGGTCTCGACGGCACCGCTTCGGGCAGCCTGTACCTCGACGACGGCGACTCCCTTGAGCAGCCCGCCACCCTCGAGCTGGACTTCACGTACCGAAAGGGCCGTCTCCAGGTCAAGGGCAAGTTCGGTTTCCGCACGGATGTCAAGATCAACGCTGTCACCCTCCTTGGCCAGTCTGCGCCAGCCTCCAAGTCTGGAATCCAGGCCTTCTTTGACTCTGGCCGCCAGGCAGTGACCGTCAAGACGAACCTGGATCTCACTGGTCCTTCCGAGGTCGATCTCAACTAGCTTGTACAGAAGTGAATTCGTCTTGTAATTAATTGATCTCCTGCCATTGGCAGTGAGGGCGCAAGGGATAATAAACTAGTCCACTTCATGTCTCATATTTGTAGTCTTGACATAGCAACACGTATGTCTTAGCCTCATCCACCCACTTTGGCAAACCACGTAAAACATGATTCACACCCAGGAAGAGACCTCGGATTATTATCTCCGTGCTACGTCTGCACGGATGACGATGCTCCATACTTCATCCACGGGCCACATACCACGCCATCTCAAACAATGCAAGGGACCGGCCACATAACTAACACGCCCGCGCCCGCGTCTATCCATCCCTAGGTAGTCTACAACAGTACCACTCTCTATTTCAACASATCCTCAGCATCAGCTTGGTCCGTATCACCTGCACATCCCATTTTCATCAAGTCACAACCACAACCAAACACAACCACACCAACGACAAATACCAAAATGAGACTCCAATTGAACCCCACAACTTACGCCCTTCTCGCCCTCACCTTCCAACTCTCCCGCGCGGATTTGAGCTACTACTGCGAAATGGCCAAAGACAAAAGCAACTTGATCCAGAAAGCCTACTGCTGCGACGATCTCGCTCCGGCGCGGTACGCCGAGCAGTTCTTCCAGGCGGCGAAGTGTATGCCCTCATCATTCTCCTCTCTCCCTGGTGCACATGGAATTGGAAGTGTAAGACTAACGGACTGAACTGACGTGTAGGTACGCTTGCGGATCCGAAGACGGTGGGGGATTCGTGTCCGAATGATGGGATGGCGCCGGTCTGTTGTTATGAGACTGTAAGTTTTTCTTTTTTGTCTCTTGACTCTGGGGGGTTCGCTGGCTAATATGATGATAGCCGCTTTACTTTATTTGTACTTCGAATGGGTATCTTCAGGATTTGTAGGGAACGGGGGAGGTATATATGGTAGATGGGAGGGTATGGTGGTATGGATGTGAAGTGACTGGATATGGATTGTTTATTGTGTTTGGTTATGATTACTGAAGAGGAGACCTTAAGATACTGCAGGAATAGTTATAGAGTCATCCCACTTTGTCAAATGGACACCCATCCCGTTGAAGCCACCACATGGGAAATCCACTCCCAGTCAAGGAATGATTCTGAGGATGCGCCTACCTATGCCACTGGCACATACGTGGTTGCATGATTGTTGGATCAACTCCAGTGTCAAGATCTGTGGTTGGACTAGATCAATCTGCGCTGTGTGCAAAGTTGTCATTCTATGGTATCTGATAAGACTATTAACAAGTCTACAGCCTATGTGGTGTGAATTATAATTATGAGAGCAGGTAGAATAACAGGTACACAGCATTCCCCCACTCATTCCCTGAAGGACTTTGGAGGAATAATCACCGAGATACCCTCTTCTCTATTAAACATGAAATCCTTCTGTCTTCTATCCACCCCTTCCACTCGAAGTGAGGTGTTCCGCCCTGCTGCCCAAACTGCTCCCTCTACAGCATCGTCAATAGTGCTTACCCACCCCTTTCTCCAGGGCGTGTAATACACACTCCCGGGCTTTTCCCATCTCCAAACACAGTCTTCATCTGCAAACAGCGTGTCTGCAGTACTTCCAATTACCTGTGCACAGCACAGCAGCACTTCCCTGTCTGTATCAAAAGACACATCTTCTGTATGCTCTGGTGGTATTTTTTTGCTTTGCTCCTCCAACCTTCTCACTAGTTGGAGAATTGGTGCCTGATGTCTCTCGGCATCATCACCTGTTGGGCAAAGTGCAACAGGCGTCTCCCGGATTAACAAAGATAGATAGTCGTGTAACTCCTGCGGCGAGGATTGAGACTGAGGTAGTTTAAGACGGCTCAGCTCGCGGAACCCTTCAATGTAGCTGAGACTATCTAGAGATAATCCAGTCTGGATCATTACAGACCGGCTCCGAGCTGAGACAGGATGGTCCCAGTGGTGTATCGTGCAGTTCTCAGTAGGCTGTTGCTGGCCTGAGGTTGTGGTGGTGATCAGGACAGTGTGGAGGAAGGTTGATAGGTTCTCTTCTGGAAATTTGGCAGGTTCGGTCTATAATATCTAAGCAACTGGAAGACAGGCAGAAGAATGCAAAATCACAATATTGTTGATAGTGCATACTATAAAGATTGTGCCCCGTTTGCGCCCTTGAGCAGGCCTTTCATTATCAGCAGACGCCATGGTGTTCCGGGTTGGGGAAGGATAAAATAAGGGAAACGGCTATTAGTTGAGGATTTCAAGGCATATACTGATAAAGTGATTGCAGTGTGGGAGGATGGTTTACGTGGGCTGTATTAGTCTGGTTAATAGTGAAGCTTGTGATAATGAGGAAACAATGTTAGGTATATATATTGCGGTTCTGCGGGGGTACCTGTAGATAGCATTGAGGCATTTTCTTTCCAGCTACAGGCCTTCCCCTTACAGTACTGTTTTATCCAGGATAATATATCTATAGACACTAAGCAGGGATGTGCTGAACCACTGGACAAACTAGCAGAGATCACTTCTAATTAATTCTATGGTACTAAATCTAGGTGGTGTTGGTTGCTATATGATTATATGACTAGAGCAACTTAGAGGCGCATCGATTAATATAGTAATTGCACCAATCATACGAACTACTAATATATAATATTCTACTTAGAGGTAGTAGAGGGAATCTTAAGTCTTATAGACATAAGTATTTGAGCGTACGACCAACTGATAAGATATTGTAGAGAGGTGTCGTGGGTTACACAGTCAGACAAGATCACTAGTTACCATAGCCTCTTGTAATATGATGAAACCCCTGTCCAGATCAATTGCATATACATTTGATCCTTTGATTATCCATTAGGACACATGAGAACAAACACTGTAAGCTGTGTAGCACCCCATACCTATTAAATTCAACAACGTCAAGTACTTAGGTTAGGTAAAGCTTTGTATGTAGTATGTAGTCTTTAGAGTCTGGATAAAACAGAGATATGAGTGAGTGTTAGGCATCCATTCTCTGACAAAGAGAAGTTAATCGATGGCCAAACGTTCAAAGTTCCTGGATTGTTTTCAAATGTTCCTTTTGACTTATGGGTGCCATAGATACCGACTCCTTCTTTCAACCCAAAGTGCCCTAACGTACTAGACAAGTCCTGCATCATTTTCTCACATGCTGTCTAGAGTCTAAGCTGGTACCAAATAATATCTAATTAGTGAACTGGACTAAGGTTACTCGCCCAGCAAAAGTGGAGATACGGAAATCCCCCATCAAAATCTGCCGACGTCTCGGCAAATCCATCCACTACAATTAAGCACAGGAGACTAACCCACACACCGGCTGACTGGCTCACCGGACTCTGGCCGAGATTATGGCGGTCTTTTTCCGTTCATGTGATGGACAAGAAATAGGCAACTGCAAATACATCAAGTCGTAAGTCGTAAGTCGTATCGCCGCTAGCACATCAGCTCCTCCGCGTTCGATTTGAACACTCGCTCGGTCAGGCCAGTCTCACTGGCACATAATCGCAGGCACAACTCTGTAAACGGGCCGACATCTACACCATGAAACCGTGTATGCGGCCAGTCTGTCGCGTATATAACCCGCCTCGGAGCCCTGCGTAAAAGTTCCCGCGTGATAGCCCCAATGTMGCGCAGTCCTTTGTCCTGGCTGAGGCGGTACGGGGCCGAGATTTTGACGTAGGTCTGCCCCTCTTGAAGGAGGGAGATAAGCGCCGAAAAACCTGGAAGGGTGTATGGGTCGAATTGACTGATCGAGTATGAAGGGAGTTGAGGAGACCCGAAATGGTCGATGCAGATTTTGATTCCAAGGGACGGAACGATCCGCTCGAGCATGGGCATCATGTGCAGAGGCAAGTAAAGCTGGATCATCCAGCCGAGGGGACGGATGAGCTCTGCGTGTTTCGAGAGGGTTTCGGCTAGCTCGGACTCGGAGGGGACTTTCCCTACTGATTTTAGGTTTACTCGGACGCCCCGCACACCTAGTGTATGCCATGCTGAGAGAGTCGTGGGACAGGGCGTGGCCGGGTCGATGACAACCACCCCTCGCCCGCGAGACGGGCCGATGCGTTCCAGGGCTTCGAGGAGGCATGAATTGTCGGTACCGTAGATGGATGGTTGGACGAGAACGAGGTTCTCAATTCCCAATGTAGATTCAAAGTCAAGCGCCTCCTCAAGGGTGTGAGAGGAGGGTTCGTATGCTGCGCCTGGGGAGACCGGGTACCGACTCAGTTCCACGACGTGCATGTGGCTATCCCATGATCCTGGGGGGATACGGTGCTTGAGGGGAATGGGATGTGTGATTTGGTCATCTTTGATAATTGGCTTGGCCTTTCTGGCAGCCAGGCAGATTGAGGCCCGGGGTGAGCTGTCCACAAGGCATGGCCTAGACTGGAGGGGAGTGAGTATGGTTGGCATGATCGGATGGCAGGTACTCCAGCGAGTAGATGCTGACGAGTGTGAACTTACAAGTGTTAGAAGTCGAGGTTTCTGGGCTGCTCGTCTCAGCAAGTCAATGCGTAGGACCGTCATTGTGAAAACCTCCTTCGAGAACCCGCGCAGTGTGCCACCTCAGCAAGGAATGTGGCTAGAATCATGAACATGAGAACAGTCCCACTCCCGTTAGCTTTACCAGAAACGCATAGTTCTTAGAGAAATAGAGGGGAAGGGGAAACGAAAGAATTTAAAGGGAAGAAAGACACGCGATTCGCGTCAGCGCTGTGTAACACATGGAGCGGAAGGTGTCCGTGTCTGTGAATCAAGGGCTCAGCGACTCCATATCGGCATTACTTAGATTCTCCCATTGACCCATAATCCATCGCCCATTCGGCCGTTTCATTCAGGATGTATTCGGTGTAGCGGAGACCAGAGTGGATTGCCAGCGGATCCGTCCGCCAGATCTGCCAGCCCTGCCAGGCCCCAACCCCTGCTAACATCGGAGGGTTCCGAAGTTTGATGGATTTAGGGGACTCTCCTCTTCATCAATCAATCCTGTTGATGTCATAGTTTCCTGGAGTAATCTGAATCAGAACCATCCCACAGAAGTACTATCTCGGTGAATGATGCTGCCTGAATACGCAAAACACTATTATAAAAAAAATCATCGGAAGTTGGCCGAGATGAAAGCCGCGTCACATGCTCTTCCGCCCCCTGCAAAAATATACAGGTCTTGCGGAAGATACCGACCTCAATCTTCCAGAAACGAGGCCTCGGTGGATATCCGTTAATCTGATTGTCCAAATCATACCAATCAATTGGTAAATTCCAGCAAGGGTCTCCCCGCGCGAAGCTTGACTCAGTACTTGCTCTGTTAGTTCTTCCCCGCATGTCATCAAACGCGCCGTCGCCATCATGAGGCTGGCGATCGACTGGTCTCGGTGGACCACCAGCCCTTATTACGCCGTCGTCATTCTAATTATTGCCTGCGGGAGTATTCCGAAAGGTATGTGCGTCTTTATTTCTCCACCAATTCGTGTGCTGACCGTGGATGTCGTGTCAATCGGCAGGTTACGATGAAGGTGGCTTCAGCGCCAGTGTCAATTTGGAGTCGTTTGTGAATGATTTCCATCTCGCGGGTTCCGAATGGACGAATAAAAAGACCGAATTGGCCAACCGGAAGGCCAACATCGTCTCGTTCAACGTTTTGGGTGCTGCGTCTGGTGCCCTGCTTGCATTGGACTTGAACGATCGTCTGGGCCGCCTGCGCTCGTGGCGATTAGCTTGTCTGATTTGGGCGGCCGGTCTCTTCGTTCAGGTTTTCTCTTCTGGTATATACGGTTTGGTTCTTGCGGCGAGGCTATGCAGTGGACTAGGGGCCGGAATACTCACAGTTAGCACGCCGTTGTATTTGTCCGAAATTGGTATGATTGCGCAATCTGGACACGATTGGCTGAGACAGAATGTTGACAATCGCTTAGCGCCGACAAGAACTAGAGGTTTGGTGGTCAGTATCTACATGGTTGTATTGTTGACTGTGTTGGCCCTGGGTTGGTCATCAATGTCCAAATGCTTATATGTCCTACAAAGCTGACCTTGTCAAAAAGGTTTCTTCATCAATTATGCCGCCAGTCTGCATATGGCCCCAACGCGGACTCAGTACCGTCTCGTGCAATCCATTCCCTTAATGCCAGTCGGGATTGCGTTCTTTGCGTCCTTCATTGCACCCGAGACGCCTCGCTACTTGGTCTCAAGGGGCCAGCATGAAGAAGGTCGATCCGTCCTCGCTCGTTTGCGCGGCAAAGCGATCTCCGACCCAGCAGTCGAAGACGAATTCAACAGCATCGATGCGCAAGTGCGGACCAATGCGGTGGATCTGGCGTCTGTAACCCACTGGGAAGCTTTCAAAGAGACCCAACTCAACCCTAACTACCGGCAGCGATTCTGGCTTCTGATCGCCATGCAAACCATCTCCCAGTGGACCGGAGGCAACGGCATAACCTACTACGTCGCCACCATCTTCCAGTACGCCGGAGTCGACGGCAACGCGCGCTCGCTCGTCTCCTCAGGCGCCTACGGGATCGTCAAGCTGGTCTTCACCATGGCCTTCACCTGGGGGCTGATCGACTACATCGGCCGCCGCCGCTGCGCCCTCGCAGGCCTGAGCCTCCAGCTCGCCGCCCACATCTACATGGGCGCATACATGGGCCTGCAGCCGGGCTCGGGCACCAACCGCTCCGCCTCCGACGCCGCCATCGCCTCCGTCTTCATCTACGCCGTCGGCTGGTCCATCGGCCTCTGCACCATTCCCTACCTCTACGGCACGGAGATCTTCCCCACCCGCATCCGCAACGTCAGCTACGCGATCAGCATGTCGCTGCACTGGTTCTACCAGTTCGCCGTTGTCCGCGTCACACCGAACATGTTCGTCTCGCTCGATGTCTGGGGCGCCTACCTCTTCTGGGCGATCATTTGCTTCTCGGGGCTCGTCATCTTGGGCATCTGGATGCCTGAGACGAAGGGTGTGCCCATTGAGCGGATGGGCGATCTCTTCGAAGGACCGTGGTACTTGCGCTGGCGCGCGAAGCCAAGGGAGGTCAGTTCCTCTTTACCCTCTCCAGCTAGAATCGACGTGGACGTCGATCCTGGTGAGAAGAGGCCGGGCTGGGAGAATGTATCTGTTTGAGCTACTATCCTCAGACATTGAGTTCCTATTTATACTAGAGCTCGTGTGTATATATTGCCTCCTGTGTACATTTCATTCCGACATTTAACTGTACATACATGTGAAGAATGCATTGCATCTGTTCATACAATTCTATGACTTCCAAGTTGAGTATGCTATGACGAACAGTAACAACTTCATGGATATCACAATAGACCAACATCAACATCAAAAATACACGCATCCAGGGATCATCCTGGCCTGCCCCACGGCGACTCAAAAGTAGACGCCATGTTAGCCGTGATAGGCTCAGCGTACGAGAACGCTTCGAAGACCTCGGGTGTAATCTCGTACGAACCCGGGTTGTCCAGCGTCATCGCCGCATTGGGCATGCCGCCTAGTAGATGCGTCGCGGGTATGGGCGGCACCCCCGTCTGTGACAGTTCAAAATCCGCGACGGGTCGCTGGAATGCGTAGCCCTGGTGCAGCAGAGGCGCGTTTGTGACGCGCGGTGCCGGGACGGAGGTTGGCATGGTTGATGCTTGGCCGGCTGGAGAGACGTGACGGGAGCCGCTGCTCAAATTCAAAGCCGGCTGGCCGGGGTGCTGACTGGGGGATTGACTGTGAGTTCGTGAGTTTGTTTGCGAGGTGGGCTGTGAGGGTGGATGTTCGGAGTGCGGTGGTGGGAGTCTGCCGTGGATGTCAATCCCGAACTTCTCCAGTTCCTGGTATATGAGGCCTAGAGCTGTGGTGATGACTGCAGAAAATCAGCATGGGCTTGTCGGTGTGAGAAGTGCCATGACGTACCAGGACTTGAAACCTTGACTCGCTCGAGTGCAAGGATGCAAAACTTGAGTTTGTTGAGTGTACCCGGCGCGGCATACTTTAGGGCCTGAATCTCCAGCAGGAATATCGATGCAGCCGTGTACACGGAATATGCTAAAGAGAGCACGACATGCGCGTCGCCAAATGTACGGCGGTACAGATCGTATAGTGATAATATGGCAGTCGCCGACGTCATGCATTGGACAAGGTGACTTTTATCGTATGCCTCGCGGTTTTTCTTTGAACAAAGGATCGGACGATGAAGGAGGATGTTGATTGTATGATACAAGCAGCTGTGGAGGAGTCCGTCAGACAAATTGTGCAACCGAATCATAACGGAGACAAGACTTACTTCAAGATCACGATATGGCTTGGGGGTGAGTATGGAGGTAGCTCTGTGACCACCAGCTTCAGATAGTCCGGCAGCTCATCCCACCATTCCGCCAAGTTCCTCGCTTGCTCCTGCACACAACTATGGAATTCTGCCTCAGACACCTGTCGGATAGGGTCGTAAATGTGGATCAAAATCTCGTTCAGAATCTCCGCCAGTCCACACATCCTCATGAAACATGACGTCGAATGAGCCTGCGTCGGCGGATAATGAGTGCCTTCAGGGAAGATAACTCCATGAGGGGTCCAGATCTCAATTTCAGACGTATCGTCCACTGCCAGGTTTTATGAGTAAGAGAACCACGCTAGGTAGGGAACGAGAGCACTCACATATAGTTCGCGGCGGACTGACGAGAGAGTTCTGCATAGTTGGCGACCTGCCAAAGTACAATGACACCAGCTTGTCCCAGAAATAACAGCTCCAGAAAAGGCGGTTCCGAATCTCAATGTCTTCATCGCTCAATTGAGCCGAATCCGGATATTTGCGACTATCAATGGAGATGCCGAGATCGTCCAACAACCGAAAGGCCATGCCGCTGTACAGCCATGCCTGTGTTCGATTTCCCCGCCCGCATTCTTGTGCACTGAGTATGAGTAACGTCTGGATGGTCGGAATGCCAGCATAGCCGACTTTTAACGAGTCATACAACCCTGTCACAGCGCGGTGGGAGAATTGAGCACCGCCATCGAAGGATTCCAAGATGGGGCCAATTTTGGGTTCAGCCTTGCACCATCGTACCGAATGAGAGAGAATTGCATTGAGAAGGGTATCCGAGTAATAAGGACCGTTGATTTTCATGTCGCCTAGAGATCATCAGCACTCTTAGTTTTATCGATCGAGCAATCGGGGTACGAACGAGTAAACGCAGGTCGGTAAACAAAGTTGAAAAGTGGCTGAATCCAGCACCAGTGAGAGTCAAGAAGATATTGGAATGGTTCCTGCCGAAATCCCATAATGAGCCTTGTCCTTTCGAGGGACTAAAGAGTCCACCTACCGGCATGGCAGCCAGCTGCTCAAATGCCCTCTCTCTCCAAGCATTGTTGATGAGCCTTTCCTTGCGTCCCTCCAGCTGCATGGCAAGAGTGGAAGATGACGAGGACTCGCTCAGAATACCGCTTGGGAGTTGAAACAAGCTCGTAGGACCGTGGAAAGATATTCGGCCATCGTGCTCAATCCTGAGACCCTCAAAGTCCCCGGCCAAACTGGGCCGGTTTCCCTCTTCCTCTTTTATCCTTGTCCGAGGACGTGGACTCGAACTGGACTCACCCGCCGACGATGGTGAGCCTGCTTTTCGAACCTCTGTCTCGGGCCGCTGCTGACCCTGCAGTTTGGCCAGAGCATCTTCCAGCTGTGCGACTCGAGCTTCTAACTGCTTGGTGTACGATAAGGTCGGAGCTCTAAGGACAACTCAACGTGTCAGCAAGGGGGACGGATCGACAGGCAGCTGCAGGAACAGATCGAGACGCACAAGCTATAAACGCAGGCTTCCCCACGAGCTGCACAACGCGAACACGACGGACTTGCGCCGTTGCATTTTACCTAAATAGTCAAGGCCGATGAGCGTCAGGTCTGATAAACAAATAAGGTCCCAAGCCGCTGAAGATGATATATCTCCTTCGGAATTCACCCGAGCGGACAGGGGGAAAAACCCACCTTGCGCTTGCGGCAGGCCTCACATGAGAAGGCGCTCTTCCGAGTCAGATTCGTTTTAAGCGGGACGTCGGCCATGCCCGATTTGCTTGGTTCGACTACCATGAAATCAACGAGGGTCGCGCATCAATATGATCGCTGAAGATCGAATAGACAGCGCAGAACCCTCCATGAGAAGAATTGGACTTAAACCACAAGAGGCGAAGAATGAAAAGGAAAACAGAGAGAAGAAAAGGCTGTAGCGGCAGTGGGGGGGACTGGAGTCGATGGCGAGTGAGAAGAGGGGATGAGGGGGGCAAAAGCTACTGCAACTCGGGAAGTTTCGCAAGCTGCTTGTCTTCTAGAATAACATGAGAGGCACGGAGTAATGTCGTTGGGGGCTGGGCACTGGAACGTGGAACCTGAAGGTCGAATGGATGAGCGACCCTGATCGAGCGGATCAGAAACGAAAAAGCATAAAAGCTTCTTTGAGAGAGTGTCGAATAACGGCATGCCGCGCTGAGGCCCAAGACGGACTCTATCGGTGATACTCCGGAGAAATTATCCGGAGCAAGTTCGCAAATGGGAAGTGAAGCTGTCATCCCATTCTGGGCATCTTAGACGACTAGTCGGTACGGAGATAGATGGGCATCTCATTCCGTGGTATTTTAATAGTTATGCAACTCTAAATGAAGGTGTTCCGTGCTTTCTTACAAGCCAACCCTGAAATTGACAGGAGATGTTGAGCCTGGAAGGGAGAGCCGAAAGCCCTAACTTGCGGAAATGGAGACTTAGCATCCCGAAGCCGGAGGGCGGAGTTGATACTCGATTGGGAATAGCTGTGGAGCACCGAACTAACTAGTGTTCCGGATATTGACCTGGCTTGTTGGGAATATGATACAGGATATGTACCAGACTAGTAGTGAACATTATAGTACAAGCATGGGATATAGGATACATCAGACAAATTGTTTCTCCAGCTGGACCAAGAGATCATGGACCTCATCGACCTTCAGCCTGACTGCCCGAGGATTCTGGAGAGCGTTCTCCCCCAACCTCGTCTCGAGCACTTCCCTCAATTTCTGTCCATTTGCGTCCGTTTTGGTCTGCATTTGACCTGTCACATCCACCGTGATACTTGACTCCGCGACATCTTTAGGCCCGAGGATGAAAATTAAATTGTACTTCATCTGTTTGGCCCGTTGGATCTTCTTCCCGAGTGTCTGGCTGCTCGTGTCGACATCGATCAGGTATGTCGAGTCGACGGATGAAAGAGGCTTCGGAGAAGTTGCATTGTCCTTGCCAGCAACAAGCGGACGGAAGCCAGAGATTTTCGCAGCAGCTTCTTGTGCCTGTTTCAGCACCGACTCATCCTGGTTGACCGTCAGAATGATACCCTGGCGCGGGGAGAGCCAGAACGGCCAGCGACCGGCATATTGTTCGATAAGCAGGGCGAGGAAGCGTTCCAGCGACCCAAAATTGGCCCGGTGAACCAGCACGGGCGTCGCTCTTCCTGGAGTCGCCGGGTTGTAGTCCTCCTCACCCTCCGCAACTTGGTACTCCAACCCGAACCGTTGCGGCAGGTTCATATCTAGCTGGATGGTGKATAGTTGGTGATATTTCCCTGCCTGATCCTGCAGTTGAATGTCGATCTTCGGCCCGTAGAAAGCACCGTCACCCTCGTTCATCGCCCATTCCCTCCCACTGTTGTCCAAGGCTTCCCGCAGCTGAGCCTCCGCGCTGTCCCACAGCTCCAGGCTTCCGATAAAGTCCTTCTCCGGCCTAGTAGAGAGTACGAGACGGTATGGTCCCAGACCAAACGTTGTCATCACCATGTCGACGAACCCCAGCGCGGACGCAATCTCCCCCTTGATCTGCTGCGGTCGGCAAAAGATATGCCCATCGTCCTGGTGGAATCGTCGGACACGGGTAAGCCCGCTCAGGGCCCCCGAGATTTCGTTACGGTGGAGAGGGCTGAAATCAGCGTAACGGATGGGCAGTTCGCGATAGGAGTGGTTCTGCGACTTGAAAAGGAGACAGTGGCCGGGGCAGTTCATCGGTTTCAGGCCGTACGACTCGTCCTCGCCCGTTTCTCCGTCGGCTTCCCCTGTGGCTCCTCGCCCTTTGACCTCATACATGTCATCTTTGTAATTCTGCCAGTGGCCCGAAACCTCCC